AACGACCGAACCTGACACTCCCGTGAGCGTAGTCGTGACAAGCACCACAGACGGTTAGTCACATCGAATTCACAAATAATATTTATACCTTGCTAAATGGGATTTGATACTCGTGCACAATAAGCCATGAAGGGAAACCTATTTGGACAAATATGTAATTAATAAAAAAATGATGACAGAAAGGCTGCATCTTCCTGTTTTATAATAAGAATATTAAAAAAACTATTATTTCCGGTTTCAGAGCCAACAACGACCGAACCTGACACTCCCGTGAGCGTTGTCATGACCAGCACCACAGACGGTTAGTCACATTGACTTCACGAAGATTATTTATACCNTGAAGATTATTTATACCTTATTATATGGCATTTCATACTCATGCACAGTAAGCCATGAAGTGAAACCTATATGCACAGACATGTAATTCATAGTCAAATGGGGACATGAAGGCTACATCCTTCTTTTTCCTAATAAGCATAATTAAAAAAAAGCATGATTTCCTGTTTCAGAGCCAACAACGACCGAACCTGACACTCCCGTGAGCGTAGTCGTGACAAGCACCACAGAAGGTAAGTCGCATCGACTTCACGGAGAGTATTTAAACCTTGTTATATGGCATTTCATACTCATGCACAGTAAGCCATGAAAGGAAATCAAGATCCACGAACTTGTAATTCAAAAAAGGACATGAATGCTGCATCCTCCTGTTTCCAAATGAACATAATTAAAAAAGCTGTATGCTTTTCCGTTTCAGAGCCAACAACGACGGAACCTGACACTCCCGTGAGCGTAGTCGTGACAAGCACCACAGACGGTTAGTCACATTGACTTCACGAAGATTATTTATACCTTGTTAAATGGCATTTCATACTCATTCACAGTAAGCCATGAAAGGAAATCAAGATCCACGAACTTGTAATTCAAAAAAGGACATGAATGCTACATCCTCCTGTTTCCAAATGAACATAATTGAAAAAGCTGTATGCTTTTCCGTTTCAGAGCCAACAACGACGGAACCTGACACTCCCGTGAGCGTAGTCGTGACAAGCACCACAGACGGTTAGTCACATCGACTTCATATAGAGCATACATTCCCTCTTAAATTGGATTTGAAACTCGTGCACAGTAGGCTATGAATACAAACCAAATTCCACAAACTTGTGCTTCAAAAAAGGACATCAATGCTGCATCCCCCTGTTTCCTAATAAGCATAATTTAAAGAAAGTATTAATTAGATTTGAAACTCGTGCACAGTAGGCTATGAATACAAACCAAATTCCACAAACTTGTGCTTCAAAAAAGGACATCAATGCTGCATCCCCCTGTTTCCTAATAAGCATAATTTAAAGAACGTATGATTTCCTGTTTCAGAGCCAACAACGACCGAACCTGACACTCCCGTGAGCGTAGTCGTGACAAGCACCACAGACGGTTAGTCACATCGAATTCACAAATAATATTTATACCTTGCTAAATGGGATTTGATACTCGTGCACAATAAGCCACGAAGGGAAACCTATTTGGACAAATATGTTATTAATAAAAAAAATGAGGACAGAAAGGCTGCATCTTCCTGTTTTATAGTAAGCATATTAAAAAAACTATTATTTCCCGTTTCAGAGCCAACAACGACCGAACCTGACACTCCTGTGAGCGTAGTCATGACCAGCACCACAGACGGTTAGTCACATTGACTTCACGAAGATTATTTATACCTTGTTAAATGGGATTTGATACTCGTCCACAATAAGCCATGAAGGGAAACCTATTTGGACCAATATGTAATTAATAAAAAAATGATGACAGAAAGGCTGCATCTTCCTGTTTTATAATAAGCATATTAAAAAAACTATTATTTCCGGTTTCAGAGCCAACAACGACCGAACCTGACACTCCCGTGAGCGTTGTCATGACCAGCACCACAGACGGTTAGTCACATTGACTTCACGAAGATTATTTATACCTTATTATATGGCATTTCATACTCATGCACAGTAAGCCATGAAGTGAAACCTATATGCACAGAAATGTAATTCATAGTCAAATGAGGACATGAAGGCTACATCCTTCTTTTTCCTAATGAGCATAATTAAAAAAAAGCATGATTTCCTGTTTCAGAGCCAACAACGACCGAACCTGACACTCCCGTGAGCGTAGTCGTGACAAGCACCACAGAAGGTAAGTCGCATCGACTTCACGGAGAGTATTT